CGCGTCCGCGTCCACGTCGTCCACGCGGCAGGCGGGCGGCGCGGCGGCGGGCGCCGACAGCGCCGGCAGCGCCGCCAGCGCCTGCAGCAGGTAGGGCGAGGCGGCGGCCAGCACGGCGCGGTGCACGGGCAGCTCGGCGCCGCCGGCCAGCAGCACGGCGTCGTAGTGCTGGCGCGACTTGCGCAGCGCGTTGAGCGCCCGCAGCACGCGCGCGGGCGCGGCCTCGTCCCGCAGCGACAGCGCGTCCTCCAGCGCGTCGCCCGACGAGTCCGAGCTGTCCGACCCGCCTGCGCACATCTCGCTTGTACTGCCGGCCGTGGCTTGTACTGCCGGCCGTGGCTTGTACTGCCGGCCGTGGCTTGTACTGCCGGCCCTAGCTTGTTATTGACGCGCGCGAATGCCGTCGTATCGGAATCTACCTCGGCTTAGTATTTTTGAGATAAGAAACTGTTTCGACTGAATGTTTGAAGAGTAAATTTTATCACAATTAAAAAGAAATCTTCTGATAATAATCTCAATATCGAACCACACAAAGCTACTATCTACCGGTTATCAGGACTGCAAAACATTAATATACTATTATAAATGTATTAGAGGAGCAATTATTATAAGTAAACAGAACAAGATGTCGACAAGTGATCATGATGACTGTGCTACTTCTAGTCTGTAGACCGCGTAGTGACTGTGAGAATGTAATCACATTTATCACAACTACTTACAATAACCGATGTGTCATTGTCAATTGAATCAATTGCTGCCGGGTACATACCGCCTCACACTAGACAACAGACCCCTCACTCTTCCAATATTAATCTAACCCACACTCGGGCAACCACTGCTTTAATACAATGATAAATATTACCTGATACACCAATTACACAGCCATCTAGCTAAATGACATGACTGCGGAATGGAATATCATCGTGACTACAAGTACTACGAGCACAGCAGAGTATACCATGTCCACTGAGCAGTGATGGCAGTTGCTATACATTACTGATGTGACATTTCAGTATTTACCATGGTGTCATCAGTACCTTAGCCCTCGTCAAGAGTGTGCTATATGTCTAACGCGATATCGGATTAGAGAAGTCAATAAAATGTAGCGGCGCGGCCTTCAAGGTCAAGCTGCATTGAATGTAAAGGATGGAGTGAGTGCTTACCGTCGCCGTTCCTGTAGTCGTCGTGCGGCTTCATGTCGCGGCCGCGTCTGGCGCGGAGTGCGGCACCTGCGGGGCACACAGTCAGTGCGGCTGCTAACTGGATTACTGCGAGCACGTGGCCGTCCGAGCGAAGGCCGCGGCGCAGTTAGCACGGGTCACATGGCGCGACGTAAACAAACCCACCTGATGCGTCGCGGGGCTGGCTCGCTGCACGCTCGCTGTGTCTTGGCCGGGCGCCGTGCTTACAGTAGTGACATGCCGTGTCGGCGTAGGGACGCTGTACCAGTCGCGATGCCACGCAATTAATACGATCGAAACGACACACTCTCCTGCCACCGCCCGCACACTGTTTTTATTTTGTAATTGTTTGACATGTAAACGTCACACTCTGACAGTTGCTCATTGTTCAATAATTTTTTTGTTTCTTCATCTAACCAACCATAGAGAACAATAAATTGCAATTTGTTGTCTTTACCGCACGCATCCCACGATGATTTTGTCGTTTATTATTTCTCTTGTATTGATTACCATTATAACCTGTTCTGTGCATTCTTTTATATATACCATACAGCTAAAATTTTTGTTTATACTAATATTTTTATTTTAAAATACCACAATTTTTAATTGCACTTTAATCGAAGAAAATACTTTGATCAAAGTATTTTCTTCTTAACCTACCTTTTAAAATACGTATAAACCAGTTTCAATGTGTATAAATCTGAAATTAAGCAGAAATTTACTCAGCGCTAGGAAGAGAATTATATCACTGTCACTTTATAAGTGTGTAAATTCTTGTATCTACTTTGAATCAATTTTGTAGTAAAAAACTTTATCCCCATAATTATTAAAAAAAAATTATGTACACTACTGATTTGAGACCTCTAAAAACAGTTTTGTATTTTATTGTTTTATGGAACTCCAGGTATGTGTGTATCAACCTGTATTGTAATCATTTTATTTATAAGAGACTGCTTGTTTCCTGAATAAAGAAAAAAAAATTATTTTAATAAATTTTAATTTTAGCAGAACAAGCAAATATCCATAGACTAACTTCATTATTTAATTCCGCCTGTTCGTCGAAGGATGGCGCCACCAATGCAAGCAAACTAGGATATTATATTTTCATTGGAAGCCAAGTTGGAGCAATGAAGCATTAGTTTCAAAGGCGCACACATGACTTAAGTCTTGATCTACAGTGATTTTTAGCTTATTTATTTAGATTTACACTAAATAAATAACTAAACGTAAATGAAAGTAAATAAATATAAAACGTTTATTTGTTTTGTATTGATAGAGGATTTTATATATTTTTTTTTAGTGCGGAGCCACGGTTTGTAAAAAAGATAAGTAGGTACCTATGGTTTGTTGAGGGGGAGAGGGTCATCAAATTACTTCTCTCGCCCAAGCCGTAAGCCGCTCATTTTATACCATGATCTCACCATGGGTGAGGTGAAAGCAAGAGGTAGTGTCTGTCAGACTCTTACTGACTAAAAACCACCCTGTTCCTACTCTTGTAAGTACCTCTACTCTTGCTTCGAACTGGAAGTCCGTTAATCCGTAGGGCTGTCTATAAATGTCTGTATATAAATAAGTAAGTGATTTTGACTTTGTCGAGGAAGTGAAGGTACTTACCTACAATAATTCAATTATGTAGTGCGTTTCATATTCTGTGATCTCATTTCTTATATGTACTCTTACACTGTTGAAGAGGTTATTAGTTGTTTATTTGAACGTGCTACTCGCTCGATTTCTGGAACTACTGTTCTGATTTGAATAATACCTGCTTTTTGTGTTGGATAGCAGAGCTCGTAAATATAGTATCACAGAATAAAAATAAAAATAAACAAACAAACAAACAAATAAAATAAAATAAAATTACCTAAGTACTTGCCTACTTGGAGATAGTTAATGTCATGTCGTGGTGGCCCGGAGGTTTAAGTCGACCGCTTCTCATGCATGAGAGTGCGGGTTTCGAAACCTACCAACGGCAAGTACCATTGTGACATTTTCCGAGTTATAATATGTACCTAGGTACTAGGCACTTTCTAAGATTATTTAGACACCACAGACAAATGGCGAAGTAAAACATCATGAGGAAACCTGGGCTTATTCGAAATCACCAACCCGCATTGAAAAAGCGTTGTGATTAGTGTTTAAGCTTCTCAGTGTGAGAAGAGGCCTTTTTGCTAAACAGTGGGCATTTATATACGCTGTTGATGATGAGGATTATTGACCGGCATTTGTTTGTATAAATTTAAATATATATATAGTCTTCAGCACCACCCAAAAAGGTGTGATTAAACAGAATGATAGGTATCAGCATAATAATAAACATGCATCCGATTGTGATTTGTGTAGGTCATTGTTATTGTAATAAAGAAATCATTATAATACCTAGTATATTATTTGCTAAAATGTAGGTACGTATTTACGTCAGATAGTCACTCGTGTCATAGTAAATATAAAGAAGTGTTCGATAAGCGCTAGGCGGTGTGAAATATTAAGTTGACGGGTGTAGGCCAGTGTAAGCTGGTGCGTGGTGTGGCGTCGCGTCGCATCGGCGTGACGGTGCAGCCGGCAGTGAGCTGCCCGGCTCGGGGTCGCAGGGCCGCGGTCGATACTGGGCGG